GTCTCAAAGTGGGTTCCTTGTCATCGAATTTTAATTTCTAATTTAATAGACATTGTCTCATATAAATAAATAGTTCAATAATTAGCTTTCAAATATTATTCATGACATGTTATCACTTGTTACCTGTTTTTGTCCACATTATATTTTTATTACTTTGGTTCAGTCTGTAAAAATTAATCTTTAATAAATGGTAATCCTAGTATTTGTTTTAACTCCAAAAACAAGTAAACCAAGATATTTATATGGATATAAATGTTGAAGTCATGAACCAGACACATTCAAAACTGAGAAGGGGAGATGTAAGAATTAGATTTTGATATATTTTTCACCATTATTAGTTACATCACTGCAGTAATTCAACAGGATTTAATCTCACAAACTTGAACCTGATGTTAGCAAGCAACTGTAACCTCCAATCAACAGTTGTGTGAGATAACTTAAATAGGGTCTGGCATGGCCTAGTGGTTGCTATTATTATTATCATTCTCACTGTTTTATAGTGTAGAATTAACCTTGTTAAAGTTTGAAAACTTTCTTTCTCCATAGTAAAGAAATTTTGTATTTGGATTTTTTAGTTAATAAGTAGACATGGGAAATGTCATATTGCAACCTTTTCTATTGCTTTTTATGTTTAAATTGAAATAATGAAATGAGTGGACTTGTTAATTTTGCTTACTGTTGCTGCCAAAACACATTTCACACTTGACTGTTTGTGCATTATAAAAGTAATGGTCAAATCCTTCTATTTGATTAGAGTAGTCCAAGAGTTGGCAGTTGTTGTTGACTAGCTATCTTCCCTTTGATCTATCAATTCTAACTTTGGGGCATCTAGCACAGATAGCTCTTGAGTAAGTAGCTTGCATGAATATATACAAAACAAGCAAACAAACATCAAGTTAGTATTTGTGTTAAATGTAATACAAAATCAAAAGAACATCAATGAGTTAAACTGTGAAGTAGTATTAAACATGCAGGCCCACTAAATAGTATCTTTGATGATTTAACTATGGAAATTTTTAGTGTGGTAGTTTGTCCTATAAAGTCAACATTCTTCTGAAAAGTGAAAAAAAGAAGAAAAAAACTGGGAGAGATTATACCCAACAATCATGCTAATCACTTAACCTTTGGAAAACTAATCTTCCACATTTTCAATGAATGCTACTATTCTCTATTTTCATGTGATTTGATAATCAATCAAACAAAATCTTCTAAGGTGTGTAGCTTTTGAAATGTGGTAGCTTAGTTGGGTAAAGAGCCTGTCTAGTTATCAGAATCTTAGGTTTGAATTCTACCCAATCTATACTCAATTTTCACTTTTGATCAGAAAAACGGTTTTATTTTTAGGATAAAAGTACTTGTTATCTCTATTTAACAAATCAAGAGTAAATATATTTTCCAATTGCTTGGTGTTCTTTAATTAGTTAATAAATTCGTCTTTTAAATAATTATGTTTAAGGTTTTTATTCAAATTGAAAACATGCAACTTATCCAGTATGAAGCAGCATATAGTATTATTGTTGTTATTTTATAAATATCAACATTTTGCTTTACAAGTTAACTTCTAAGCTACCTATTTTACTTAGAATTTGTTAAAATATGAATTGTGAATAAAATTACTGAATAGCTAAAAGTCTAAATTCCATGAAAAAATTT